GCAGTTTTCCTGGCAAGGTTTTTTCCGGAAGCAGTTTATTTATTTATTTTATTTGTATGATTTATTTATTTATTTATATCCCACCCTTATTATTATTTTCTTATAAATAACTCAAGGCAGTGAACTGAGATGAAAATAGAATGATTGGCCCAAGACCACCCAGCTGGCTTTCATGTCTATGGTGAGACTAGAACGAAGACATAACTAAAAATCTCCTGATTTCTAGCCTGATGCTGTAATTGCTAGACCAAACTGGCTCTGCCTCTCCAAGGTTACCCAGCTTTGGCCTTTGTGCCCAAAGTAGTACTAGAACTCACAGTCTCCCAGTTTCTGTCCTGATATCTAGATCTTAACTAGGCTTTAAGTAGTGTTTTGGCAACTTGCGGGATATTAATGTATTTTCTAAAAAGCTGTAAAAAACGGTGTGCAGGATGTCAGAAATGCCTGGGTTCATTCTCACAACAGTTCAGCAGTTCTAGGCTGATACGTTGAATGTCATTGTGATATTGAAGCCTCTGTGGCTTCAACATGGTTCTGCAGGTCCCTAAGCCTGAGATCTGCTCGATCATTATTCCCTTTACAGGGAATCTCAGAAAACATCCACCTACCTTATTGTAAAATACTCCCCTGGTAGAGAGCATAAGACTTATTGGTCACATCTTCTATTTGACCAGCACCCTGACAGATCTTTTCCAAATTTTCCCCGTTTTATGCTATTACACAAATAAACAATTAATTGTTGTCCTACCAATGGTTGAAATTTAGCATAAATTTTGGTGACTGGCACTGTTGTCTGTATTACTGTTGCCATATTAATTTATTCTTATGTATTTTTGTATGTTTTGCGACAACCTTTTAGTTTCATTAATAACTATAGGTGTATGCATTTTTATTGTGTCTTTGCCCCGAAGCTCATAATAGTGATTTTAAATTGCTTTGATTTGTAAGCCTCCCCAGCACAAGAGTGATCCAATCATTGTGTTGTGGAACCTCCATATCTTTAGAGATTGGCTATGTATTGTTGCTGCCAGAGATTATGCTTCTTAATAGAAAAATGAGGTGATGGAAGATAAGGCTGCTGGCTAATATGTGATAACATTAAAGAGATGCTCCATGAAATTACTGTAATTGTGAACCATAAAAAAGGTCCTTCTGGAAGCAGCCAACATCAAGGAGAAAGACAAAAGAGCTCTTTTACTGAGATTTGTTATCCTCAGTAAATCACATGCATAGGTGTCTGGGCAGGGCCAAAGAGGGCAAGTGATGAAACCTGCATGATGATGTCCCTACGCAAATTCTGTCCTTCACGTGCAAATAACAGAGTGCTCTGGTGTCACAATATCCATGTCATCATTTTGCATTATCTTGACTAAGAATGGACATTTATGGTCACAGGGTTAATGATCTGTTCTAGTCCTTTTGTTTCTGCAATTAGTCCAATTGCTCTATTAGAACAAATCCATATTGACTGATCTATTCCAATACCTTTTCAGCAACCCTTGATAATACTGGTGACACTGCCACTACTCCAACAGAAAAAGTCCAAAGGTGGATCTAATGAGTTGAGTCAACGGGAGATAGAACCTCCTGTGCTATTAAAGATGTCTTGGTGGTCTGAAAGAATAAAAGAAAATGGGAAAGAGCAAAATGCTCTGGGTTCTGTATGTACAATATCCTAAATATGCAACATAGAGAATACCACCTGATTTTGGCAAACGGAAAAAAAAAATCTCTGTCCACTCTTTCCCCAATTTCTACCATGCCTAGATCTTTCTCAACCTTGATTTTCATTTTGGATTGTCAACTGACCCTGATTTCTGTTCTATTTGCTAGGGTCCAGATCAGAGGCTTCTCAAAGTAGCTAATAAAGCCACTATGGTGACCAAACTCAGCTTGATTTTTCTGGTTACAGTGGAGAACCCAGGGTTTGTTAAAAGATGGGCGACTATATAAATATTTTAAATGAATAAAGTGACAGCTCTCAGTCCATTTGTCTTAAAATCTTGATAATTTGCCAATTATACAAATGCTGACATCCCATGCTTAAGTTACCAGGCCTAGCTTATGACATACACTTGCAAATACCTAGTTTACTTGCAAGTTTGTGCTATTCTTCGGAATCTGCATTCATATGACTGTTTCCGTACGTGACAGTGTAGTTGTACAACAGCTTGGGTGGTCAGTTCAAAGCGCAAAGATGCAATGGAAAATTCTCAGAAGTCTTGAGGATGATTCTAAAGGGATTCTTAACACAGGCTCTTTATCCTCAGTGAAAGAAAAGGAAATGACTGTTTTAATAAAGATTTATATTGCTCTCGAGAGCAATATAAAATACTATCTAAGAGTATTTTATTTCTGTGGACCCAGAATGTGGTTTTATTGCTAGCTTTTGAATCTGGAGGATCCAGCAGGAATTCTCTAGTTGAATACTCCAGGGATCAACAAACAACTCTGCAACAATCCAGAGGTTGTGTGACCTACAAGCAAGGAACTGGATCTGCAAAACACCAAACTGCCTTTCTTTTTATTTTAAACTAAAGTTGCCCTAGAGGAAGAGAAACGTGCTGTTTTCCACCAGCATCATTCAAATTATATCTCTATCCTTTGAACAAATATTTGTTTTTTGTTTTTAGCTTAATACTCACTCATTCACTCAATTATAACAAGAACAAATCTGTCTTGTAGTAACATAAATCAGAATGTGACAATAATGCTTCCTTGTGAATTTCAGCAGTTGGAATAGTTGCTTCTGGGTAGTTCCTCCCCTTTCTAATATTTTCCTGTGGTAGTATTCTAGTTCTTTCTCTTGCCATGGTAGTTGGTATGCTGAAATCGTCAGCATACCTGAATTCTCTTTCAGCACAGGGCAATTCATCTGAAATTTGATTTCATTCAGATTTCAGATGAATTGCACTGTGCTATTAGGGAATTCAAGTTTCATTTATTCTCTCTTAATTCAACTGTCATTAGAGTGGAATCAAGTTTAAGGACACGTAACGTGCAATATAATAAACTCATTAGATAATCTTTAAAAATATTTGTTTATTTCTTGGATGTGTATGGTTGCTAATTCACAATAGTGATTTGTGGTGACTTACAGCAGATAAAAACAGAATAGAACACACAGCAATACACATAACTGCTGAGGAACCAACCAGTCTAAACAAAACAATAAGCATATCATGGGATCCCATTAACACCCAAGCCCCCCCTTATTGCTGCATTTCTTTATTAATATGAGCTTTATCTGCTGCCTTAATCCTGAAAGATTCTAGCTGTTACACAAATGCTACTAATAATGTTAAATAATAAATAATACAACAAAACAATAAAATCAATTTTGGTGTTGGAAACTCCACAAAAATTTCCCAAAGGGCTACTGGAAGCAGCAAGTTTTTAACAACTTCCTTAGGTCATCTCAGGGCAGGCTGTTCCTTAGGAAGGGAGCTCCCAAAGACAATACCATTGTCAGATTTTCTCCTATCACATCTTACAGTAGAGGGAAGACCTTAGCAGGGGTTCTCTGCCCTCCAAATTGGGCAGTTAGAATCAGTCTGAGAAAGGCTATCTAGATACCAGGCCGCATAATATTGTAAAGATGGCAGTTGGCATCTTGAATTGCATTCAGAAACACAATGATAGAACAAATGCCATGGCAATGTTGTCATGACATGTCATGACCTAAGACTGTAGGCCTCTACATTTTGGATCTGCATAGTGGTCTTCAAAGGCAGCCCCGTCAGCAAACCACACTAGCCTAGGAAAGAGATGACAACTGTGAACGTCCTCAGTGCATCTTGTTTCACATAAGGCTGCAATTGGCATGCCATCAGAAACTGGCCAAAGGCTGTTTTGGTTTTGGCTTCCATTGTGCTCTTTCAGCAAGTGTTGCAAGTCCAGGAGGACTCCCCAGACTGCTTATCTGTCTGAAGGACAGACCTTTGTCAGTCAAGGCTGGCATTTCTCTAAAAGGGGCGCTTTTGGAGCACTCCAAAACAGTATTCAAAGACCCACTTCTCTCAGTTGCCACCACTGCTTGGACCAACCACTCAGATAGAACAGACCATAGTAATATGGTGCCTACAGCTCCTAATCCTCACAGATGATTTATCATAAATGGGACACCTAGTGAACACTTGTTTTGGTTGAAGAGGTTGAAGGCCCAGATCAATGGGTTGTGTATTAATGATTAAAAGCCAATTTCACACGGGTAGACCTGGCCCATAAACTTGTTCACTGAGTTTTGACCAATTATTCCTCCCTAGCATAAGCTTTCTTATAGGATTCTTATGAAAACATGGGAGAGTGGAGAATCATGGCACAGAAGCAGCAGAATATATTCCTGATGAGAAAGTAATAAGAACAGAAAAACATCATTGACCAGATAAAAGGAAAATCCATCTTCCATTGACACTTTCACAACCAACAACTGATTGATGAAACTTAGAACATGGTACTTTTCTGCCTTGACTGAACAGCATTTCATTCAGAGTAAATATATTTAATGCTGCACTTTGCTGCCTAGGTACCTGGAAGTATGCTCTACAGTAATAGTTATAACTAGTTCTGAGTGTATGTGCAAAGGATTGCACTGTTAGCACCTATTGTAAAGCAATTGGAGGTCATTTGCTGTTTTCTCCCTAAAAATCAGTGGTCTTTCACATTACTAAATCTGTCATTCACATCTCATCAAGAACAGAGCCATAATAGCGTCTGACTACTTCTGGCCCTTTTTGTTAATTGTTGCCGTCTTGCACTTTGCTGATATCATTTTGCCAGATGTGTTAATTCATTCATTGTCAAAAGGATTGTATTGCTTTCACCAGCTTCTACAAAGAGGCAAGGCTCTAGTTCAGAAGCTTGGTCCTGATCGTCACCACTTTGAAAGTGCGAACAAAACAGTACAGCGGAAGCACACTCCAGGCCATCTGACATATGAACACTCTGCCCAAACTAATCTCTGCTATTTTTTAATTTATTTATTATTTTGTAGTTTATATTTCCAGGCAACAGCTTAGCAATTTATTTTGAGGTACTTGGAATCGGGACTGAAAATCATAGGTTATACCCAGGTCTACTGGATTGTCTGTGCTTTTTAAAAGGACCATACCTGTCATTGTGCTTGTTCGTGGCATCCAATGTAGCTTATCATTGATAAAAAAAAGTAAAAAGACAATACAATTAGAAGCACAAATTAAACAGGTTGAAGGCTCAGCTTTAGGCAATAGTGTTGCCAAACGCAGTGTCCCTCCCACTCCAAATTATCAATGCTAATCCATCTGTTATACAAAATGGAGCTTACAACCATTATGAAGTCTCCAGTTTGGAAAGGTTTTACTATATTCCTCAGTGAGTTCCCTCCTCCTTCCGTAGATAATATTTAAAAATATTGCAAATGTTATTTTTAGATTATTTGCAAAATGGTGCTTAGTATATAGATTAGAAAAGGTTAGCAATAAACAGCCAGAGGGATTTGGAACTATAGCCTTGAATTAATTAAAAAAAATTATCATGGGAAAATGACGATGCCTATGTATTTTTATGATAAGGAGACCTTGAAAGTTGGACAATAGGAGGAACTAGAAGATAAAAGAAAACAGAGCAAAACCTTCAATTATCTTTGCTTTTTTTAACAAGCTTCTTCACAAAATGAACTTATTCAAAAATGGATAAAGTATGTTATTGAAATTATAGAACAGGTTCCACTGATAGTGGAGAAATCACTCTGAAAGGGGACTGAAATGTAACACAAATGGAATTAATGGATGGTTGATTCCCTAAAGGAAATGTACAGATATGGTACCATCAGTAATGTATAATATCCATAAAACATTTATATACAGGCAGGCAGAGTCAGCTCTCTTCATTAGCATTAGCTGTTTTATCTGGCTTTTTTTTTAAAAAAAAAAATACCCTGTAGTGTTGGACTGGGTTAATACTGGGTTGGAAATCCCAACACTGTGTTCTAGACTGGGAAGTTGGAAAACATCTCAGAAGGTAAGTTAGGGTTTTTGGTAAAATGCAGCCATTATATTGGGAGCACTCTCAACCTATTTGTAACAGTATTCTTGAGTTCTTTGCCTCAAAATGCAGCTCAGCCATACTTTGCTAGTTGCACTGAATTAAACAGTAAACAAGTCCATGATATCATTTTGTCAGCAGCTGTTGCTCAAACACAGTTCAAGCTGAATGAGATTTCAGCTGAAAATTCTTTTTTCTCACTAAGATGAGGCAGTTTGCTGTAATTATCCTAGATGTTTATAACCTTCGAAAAAAAGTCCCTAAGGCAATAACAAGGCAGAGGTCACACTTCATTTTCTTCTTCTGCAAGAACTAGTGCCATGGATTCAGGACACGATTCCAATTTTGGACAATAAAAAGCCGTCTTTCTAAATTTGAGACAAATTGAGCATAGCTTCTCAGCTGTCACAACTGTGATGTAGTTTCATGGCACTGTATTTTGTTTCAATCACTCCATTAGTTTGCTCAAGAAGCCACTGTTTCTCCTGTTCATCCACAATCAGTTTCAGTGTCACTTCTTGGAAGGTACTATTTACTCCCACCTAGATAATAGAGAAGGAAAAGTTATCTTTAAAAACTGAAACAAACACAATTTAATATCAACTCGACATACAGTATGAGAGCTTCTAGTTACTATACCTCTTTAAAATGAATTTTTTTGAACATGCCAATACTGGTTTCATTTTCCAATTTAATTTTTGCTTCAAAAGTAGCGAGTCCAAGATGCGTAATACCTAGAGACCAAGATAATAATTAAGAAAAAGAGTTCCATTTGGAAAAGGAAAGATTACAGACTAATGACAAAACACAAACTTTGCATGTAAGCATTCCTATGCTGAATTTGTGGCATCTCCATCTGGGTCCTCTGACACCTTAGAAACATACCCTCTTACACAGATAAATAATTGACTTGGTTATGTTAACTAACTAAAGGTATGTTTACAATGTTCCTACTGTTAAAGACAAATGGAAATTTTATTCTTTGTAGTATAAATAAACAATACTCATTCATAAGGTACTTTACATATTTGAGGCTAAAATTCAACATCTACTGGAATGTAAGTACATCACACTAATTCAAAACAATTGGATTGCACTTGGGCATTTTTAAGACACAAAGAAATCGAACAGAAGTCACAAACAGGTCTGAAGTAAAGGTGACATGGAAACAAATTCTCATTCTCCTAATATTAAGTCTTTTGCTCAAAACTGTTTATATGCTCTCTCAGAAAATTCTGTTGGGTCCCCTTGTTGACCATACAAATTCCTTCATTTCTTTGCTCATTCTGTTCCTGTCACATTGTAACAACTAAAAATCAGATCTTGCATATTCTATGTTAGGCATTCTTACCATAAAACATCATGATGAGAGTGGCCTCCTTGCCAAACCCTCTGCCACGGTAGCTGGGCTCTGAAAGAGGGAACAGGAGCCAAAGTCTCTTTTGTAGTTTCTTGTGTCACGGAAAACAAAAGTCTCCATCACCACCACAATCATCTTAGTTCAAACTATTTTTGCAATTAGGAAAATATATAATTTCCCCTACATTTTTGGTACTACACAAGGTGTATGTTTGGAAAGCATGAGATTGGCAAAAAAAAAAGTGGGCTCAGGAGAGGGGGGGG